GATCACAACTTCGTTCAGGATCGTGTAGCAAAGTTCTTGGAGTTTTCTTCAATCCCTTACCACCCACTCACCGTCATGGTTGGTAGTGGAAACCTTATGCGATGCGACCGACTTTGCCCTGATGTGAAAATTCATATTCAAGACCATACCCTCCATGTTAACTTCTATATCCTTCCTTTGAGGGGTGCAGATATTGTCTTGGGTGCTCCCTAGCTCAAGTCCATTGGGCCTGTTCTCATGGATTATAACCAACTCACCATTTCATTTACCCAACAAGGCCACCCCATTACCTTACAGGGGATCCAACACCACCAACTCGACCCAATATCTAGCACACAACTTAAGCGTTGTCTCCAGACTAATGGGGCCTCTGAACTATTACCATACAACTAATATCTATACTCGATTCTACCCTAACTCTTCCATCCTCCAATACATCACCACCACCCCAAGAAATCACACAGCTTCTCCACCGTTTCGACAAATTATTCCAGCCTCCACAATCACTGCCTCCCTCTCGCCCCACTGATCATCGTATTCACCTTCTCCCCAATTCCACACCGGTCAACGTCAAACCGTATCGATACCCTTACTCACAAAAATGTGAATTGGAAAAACAGATCTAAGAGATGCTTGATAAATCCATGATTCAACCAAGCCGAAGTCTGTTTTCTTCGCCTGTATTATTGGTGCGCAAAAAGGACGGTAGTTGGCGTTGTTGTGTTGATTACAAGGCTCTTAATGCCATTACTATTCGTGACCGATTTCCTATGCCCACCATTGATGAGCTTTTGGACAAGCTTGGTGGTGCAACCTAGTTTTCTAAGCTTGACCTCCGACAAGGCTTTCACCAGATCTTAATGCATCCAGATGATATTGCCAAAACTGCTTTTCGCACCCACCAGGGACATTACGAGTACAGAGTGATGCCATTCGGCCTCTGTAACGCTCCTTTAACTTTCCAAGCAGCTATGAATGACCTTTTCAGGCCATTTCTCCGTCGTTTTGTTGCAGTATTTTTTGACGATATTCTTGTGTACAGCCCTTCCTTCCCACAACATATCTCACATTTGGAACAGGTCTTCCAATGTTTATTGGAAGGTCAATTTTATCTCAAACCTTCTAAATGTTTGCTGGCAGAAAGGCAATTGGAGTATTTAGGACACATCATCTCTGGAGCCGGAGTTCAACCTGATCCATCAAAGATTCAGGCAATGCTGGATTGGCCTCCCCCTTGCAATGTCAAAGCTCTGCGTGGCTTCTTAGGCCTTACCGGTTTTTATCGAAAGTTTGTCAAAGAGTATGCCACCATCGCCTTTTCCCTTACTGCCTTACTTTGCAAGGATGCTTTTATTTGGACACCAGAAGCTCAACGTGCATTTGATGCCCTCAAGCAAGCCATGACTCTAGCTCCAGTGCTTGCTTTACCATATTTCTCCGTTCCTTTCACTATCGATACAGACGCTTCTGGTATAGTTATGGGCGCAATTCTCATGCAAAACAATTATCCAGTTGCATTTTTCAGCAAGCCATTCTGCCCAAAGCTTCTCAATTCGTCAACTTATGTACGCGAATTACATGCCATCACATCCGCCGTAAAGAAATGGCGCCAATACCTTCTGGGACACCCCTTTGTCATCAATACAGATCATAAAAGCCTGAAAGAGATCTTGTCTCAAGTGATTCAAACTCTAGAACAACAACATTATCTTTCCAAATTATTGGGGTATGAATACAAGGTTCATTACAAACCAGGCCCCCACAATGTTGTTGCTGATGCACTTTCTCGATTTTCGGACACTTCCACTGGTATGTGTTTCGCCCTTTCCATGCCTAACTTTCTTTTTATGGATCAATTGAGACAATCTGTGGCTGTTAGTTGTGCCTATAATACTTTACTTCTTTGCATTCAAAATGAACCTGCTACTCTTCTGGATTACAAGTTACACAATGGTTTAATTTTATTCAAAAATCGTCTGTGGCTTGATCCTTGTAATAGTTTCCGCCTTAAGCTTGTGGAAGAATATCACAGTACCCCATTAGGTGATCATATGGGCATCACAAAAATAGTGTCCAGATTATTGGCTAACTTTTACTGAGAAGGTCTACGCAAAGATGTTAAACTTTTTATCCAACAGTGCACTATTTGTCAATAAGTGAAACTGAATACCCTCAAACCAGTCGGTTTTTTGCAACCCCTACTCGTGCCCACGACTGTTTGGGAAGATTTATCCTTTGATTTTATTATCGGATTACTTCCTTCTCAGGGATTCACTGTTATATTGGTTATTGTAGACAGATTTTCTAAGGGTGTTCATTTGGAACCATTGCCAACACAATATTCTACTTCTAAGGTGGCTCAATTATTTTTGGATATTATTTGTAAATATCACAGCATCCCTCGCAGTCTTGTATCTGATCGTGACCCCATATTCATCAGTAAGTTCTGGCGCAAATTATTTTGCCTTTGTGGTACCAAACTTCGAATTAGTACATCATATCACCCAAAAATTGGTGGGCAAACTGAGGTGTTTAACAGAGTTTTAGAGCAATACCTCCGCTCTTTTGTTCATTCCAATCCGTCGCAGTGACCCAAGTATTTGGCCCTGGCTAAATGGTCTTATAATGCTTCTATTCATTCCTCCATCGGGTACTCACCTTTCCATATTATTTATGGCAAGCCAGCCCCATCATTGCGAAATTATTTACTTGGTTCTTCTTCTGTGGAAGCTGTAGATACCTTGTTAGCATCGCGCCATTCGCTGTTAGCACTGTTGCGGAAGAAATTACTCAAAGCTCAGGCCACTATGAAGCTTTATGCTTATGCCAAACGCCGCGATGTAACTTATGAAGTAGGTGATTTGGTGTTTGTCCATCTCCGCCCATATCGACAGCGATCTCTCTCTTGTTCCACTTATAACAAGCTTTCCAAGAGGTTCTATGGGCCCTACAAAATCCTAGCTCGCATTGGTCCTGTTGCTTACCAATTGGATTTACCAGCTAAGTCCAAAATACACCATGTTTTCCATTGCTCCTTGCTAAAATGACAATATGGCACAGATCCTAGCATCACTCCTTTACCTACAGAGGCATTCCATCACCAGCCCATCATTCGACCCCTGGCAATTTTGGCAACTCGCATGGATACTTCCACAAGCCCTCCAACCAAACTAGTTCTGGTTCAATGGTATGGGCTCTCTTCCGATGACACTAGTTGGGAAGAATGAGACCAACTCAGCTCCACTTATCACCTTGAGGACAAGGTGCTTTTTCCAGACTCGGGTGTTGTTAGCAATCAGACCACTCCTCCCTTGGCTAATTCAAGGCCTAAAAGGATCACCTCCACTCCAGCCCATCTCAAGGATTACACTACCTAGAGAATCCCAACGTTGCAATAAACTGCTGAGTCACATTATCTATCTATGCAAGAATAAATTAGTTACTAGATATTATGCTATATTTGATGAGTTGTCATTCTGTTAGATTTTATTCCCCTTCAATCAAGTAGCACCCTCTGATTGTAACTAACTTGATTTGTACTTCCTTGTATTTGGCTATATAGCCTATTCAAGATGAATGAATGAGTAAGCTTGAATTCAAAAAAAAAATTCCTTCTTTTTTTACTATATTCTTAGGGGCTTCCTTGGCCATCAATTAAGGAAGAAAACACTTAACATTTGAAACATGTCAATAAAACAGCAAGCTCCAAAACGATTACCAGCAATTGCAGATCAGTAGTTACCAACATTTATCTCCAGTCAAAAGATCAAAGACACATGAAACTCATATGGACAAAAACGATTACAAAAAAAACATGACCATGGACGATAACCGTTATAGAAAAGCCATGGGTTGTAGTATTGATAGAAAAGCATACGTAAAAAGAAGTTATCAAGAGATGCCTGCTAAAGAAGGATAGTAGTTAAGGTCCATTTGTCTATAAAAAGTTCTGCACAAGATATTACAATTCTCGTTGTTTTAGCCGAAGTCGTGAATCTACATTTCTACAATTTAATTCATGTTCATTTATGTAATTTTTACTCTTAATATTAGCATTGTTCTATCATTTTTCTTTCGTTCTTTCCTATTCCTTTGCTTGCACGACTATAATTTTACTATACAACATACTTAAAAGAACTTAAAGAAGATCTAAATTTCAATTTTAGATTGCTCTTAAATTTATTTATTTACTATCTTCAAGATTCACAATAAACACTAAGCTATTGGCAAGTATTAGAATCACAAACTTTCACATTTTGAATTTTAACTGCTTGGCATTTGATAATTGATATCACTAATTATGTTTCATCACGTTACTCAGCTTATTTTTTAAATAAATAAATAAATTATTCAAATAATATTTTCTTTCAAACAAATTTTCTGTTTGGAGTATTTTTTACCATGTCAATTGAATATTTTCTTTTAAGAGTTTCAGCAGACGTGAACTTGCGAGAACATGTTATGGAGAATTGTGGTCGTTCCAGACATTCAGTAATAAATCTACAACTATGGATTAGATGCACTTAGTTGTGATTTCATGGCATCTGTTCTGAATCTTGGAGAGAAAGAGGTTTTTAATGACACGAGAAATGGCTTTCATCAAAGACTCTTGGTTCCTTGCAAATGTGGAAAAGATGGTGATGATTGTTCGACTGTATCTTCGAGGAAGTAGCAAGAGTACCTTCCATGTTCTATGATAATGTTAGGGTTAAAATTTTGTATTTCGGTCAACCGGTTTATATTTTTGAAGCAGCTTTAGGAATAGCACATACGGGCCGGATCTTTCAACTGTTATTTGGCCAGTAAGATGTAAAATGGACTTGATGACCCATTATTACTATGACGAAGGTAGATTTGGATTTAGATTTGTTTTCAATACTGAAGGTGAATTTTGATTCTTCTGTAATTATACCATCCTGACTAAAAATTGACATATTTTCTCCGCAGGAACTCTGATATCATATTTTCAAAAAAATAAAAATAAAAATGAAAAGATAACAGGAAAAGTTAGAAAATATTCAATTTAACTAGTTTTTGAAGAATGAATATGCGACATAGCTCCAAATTCGAACCAACAATTGAAAGTCACACAAGCATTACAGCTACCATATCAGAAAAGGGCGAAAAATTGAAGGCTTATACAGTATCAAAGATACTAGCCAATGGCAACGTAGCAATGGAATCTTACACATCCACAAAAGCAGTACAAAACTGTTATTGACACAGCAGATTTATTCATTTGGGATCTATTAGCAAAAGGCAAATGGAATATACACAATTCCCTTCTGAAGATCGCAAAGTTGATCTCAAATCTGTATACTCTGTATCAGATTCACGCTCAAAGAACTCCTAGTTAATTATTTTCCTGACTGAGGTTCTTCTCAATAAGAATCATATTCAATCTGTTGGCTATTTCAACTAAACCAATGTCTGTAAAAGCAGCCATAATCTTTTTAAACGCAAGCATATCTAAATCTGTGGTAGTTGATTGCTTCCACTGATCAATAACTTCACCTATTTCTTTTGCATGACCAAGCATCAGATAGGAAGAAATAATGCAGATATAATTCCTGCTAATCATTTTCTGTTTAGTCATTCTCAAAGAATTCCATATCTGATCAAGTTTATCCTTACTTCCCAACCCACCATAAAGAATGATTAAGAAGTCATAAGTTATCCATTGACTTTGGGTGATCCTTTTATCAGTCTCAACAACTGAGTTGGAGTTTGCATTATCAAGATGACCAACAGTAACATATATATTGGCCAGGTTCAAATATCTTATCCAACTTTCATTAGAACCAGAAGCATAACTCATTTCATCAAGAATCCTTCTAACTTGATCAATATTAAGAGTAGCAGCACAGGAACTTATCCATAAATTGTAAGTAAAAAGATCAGGGGAAACCTTTTGTTGTTTCAGTTCTTCAACAACTGATGGGACCTTTTCAAACTGCCCCACTGACATGTAAAGGGTCATCATTTCATTGTAAGTAAGAGCATCAAATGAGAGATTTGAATCCTTTATCCTCTGATAAAGTTCCTCAGCCTTTTCTGTCAATTTTGCTCCTGCATAAGAATGGAGTAGGGCTGTGTAAGTTTCAGCTGTCTTGGTAGCGGGAGGTAGGCCGTCAAAGTAGCGCTCCGCAGCATCAATGCCGAAAACTTTGGTCATTAAATCTATGCGGACTGCATAATCGGAGTCTGATAACTCGTATTCTTCATGGCTAACCATCCATTCTGATATCTGCAATCATCAGCAGTCACAAATTGCAAAGCAATAGATTCAACTGAAAAAGAGAGCTCTAATCATGATAAAGTGTTCCTAGTCAGATGCAATCCTATCACTAGCAAAGGAAAAAAAAATGTGATAACTCAGGAACCATTGGAAGTAATTGAAATCGATTGAGATTTGTAGTCTGTTGGAGCTAAAAACTAATACATGAAACTCCACAGAATTGGAAAAACAGTCAGGAATTAGTAATAAGCAACCAAATAATATTAGTCAGAAAAATGTTAAGTCAGTCATTCGATAAGACTAAATTTAAACATAAAATTTATTAAAAAAATGATATTTACTAAACTATAAAACTCTATTAATGCGCTCTTTTGTGAAAAAAATTTGATAATTTTGGATGGTTAAAATGAACTAACTTTACAAAAGTATTAATAGTATGAGAAAGGAAGGGGTGAAACCTCCAAAGCGTGTTTGTAACGGTGAGATCTTCGAAGATCTTTGGAAATATCCCGAAGCTGAGAGAGGGTAATAGGATTTCCTTGGAGGACCCAATTGTGAAGAACGTTAGTGGCGCTTCGCTTGGGGAGCCTTAGCCTAAAGATTCTGCTCCTTAGGTCATCAGCGTCCACAGAGACAGAGTTACGAGTGTCTTCCTCAAAATCACTACTCACAGCTCCAGAAGAGACGAATCTCGCTGTGTTGAGGAGAGAGGGTAAAGCGCTACTATTTCTGCAAGTGCCATTTTGTGAGATCAATTATTTATACCATATCCAACAATTTCAATCTCGTTCACTTACCGTCTGAGAGAGAGGAACAATGAGCGATGCGCCATTGGCGGCGGTTGTCTCTTTGCTCCCTTCACCTTCTTCTAAGCTTTCATTTTTCATACACCTTTAAGCATAACAATTCACCTAGTCACCATCTTTTATCGAAAGATTTCTTGATGTGTATTTAAAGGCACATGATGAAAAATTTATAAATAATAACTTTATTATTAAATTTTATAAATTGACAACATTAAATTTTAATTTTTAATAAAAATTTATTGCCTATTAATTTAATCATTTAGTAAGCATGGTTTTGTAGATTGTATATTTGTATTTAATTGTGAGAAAAAGGAATGTTTTGCGATAAAATTATTTGGTTGATACAAATTCCTTTGCCTTTTCTAAATTATTGTTTGGCTAGAAAAAAAACTTTTTACATTTTCATGATGATATAATATACCCATCTTTCATTATGAGAATAAGAATTAAGCAAAGTATGTTAATCCAACTTTTCCGACAAATGAGAATCAACCTAGAATAAGTTTTCGAAGTGTAATAAACATGCTCACATAACTAAATTTATTTTCCCTGGAATGATTATACTACTCGTTTTAGGGTTTTAACTTTTTAAACCGTGATTTTTTCTAATCACAACACCCCTTTTTTGTATATTTCATAAATAAAATTTTAAAAAACATTAATCACTTGTAAAATTTAAATTACAGTAAGTAAAAAAAAAAAAAAAAAAAGTGGAACAAAAAGCAAGTGTCTATTTTTACTAGTCCAGCACATCTTAGTGCTTCGACAAGTCCAGTCCAGTATGACTTGGGCTTTTATGTCACATTGTAAGGACCGATATGCACAACCAAAAAAAGGCCATTATTGCCCATGCAGTGATTGCTTAAACTACTCAGTGATGAAAGTTACAGAGCACCATGCCAAAAAAGACCAGGTCATTAGTAAATTTCCACATTCCCCTCTCCTCATGACCAATTTAAAAAGACCAGAATTCAAATCTTGGGTTTAGAAAAATTCTCACATTTCACCCTCTCTGTCCCCAATCCCCTTCCCCTAATGACCAAAACATAAACATAATTGTTTTGTTGAACGAAAAGAGACTTTTTGTAATGGATAATCTCAACAACAGTCGTATCCAAGATTTCGATTATTATTTGGGCTTATCAGAAACAAATGATGCAGAAGTCATTAATTTATTGACGTTAAAATTCTGTGTTTTGAAGGCAAGCATGAAGAAGCAATTGCTAATAGTAGTATGAAATTGCATCGTATTGTAATGTTTCACGTCAATGAGCCAGACAGTTGAACAGTCAAAGGCCTGGAAGGAAAAAGAGAAGACCACAAAAGAAAGAGCAACGCTTTTCAATCATTTCTGCCCCCGCTTTTTTTTTTTTTTTTTTCTCGTTTTACAGGGCAAAAATATGCAAATTCTAGTTTCTAGACACGAAGCTAATCTAGTACAAAAGCCTGAACGGAGAAGGGAAGCGACACGGGCTTTCATAATTATTCCACAATTTCTTTTGTAAAAACAAATAAATAAATAAAATAAGAACCGCGTGTTTTTAATTTACTCAAATCACAAATTTCAATGCCATCGCTTCATCATTGACTTCCCTTTTCGCTTCTGCTCTCACGCTTCACAGAAGTAAACATGAAATTCCCTGAAAATAGTGCTTCTTTATCTGCCAATACAGATTCCACGACTAAGAAAACTCAAAATTAAGAGAAGGAAAGAAAAATGAAAATAATAGAATTCTTTCATCAACATATCTTTCAAAGCTTCATGTATTCTACGAGTAAAACAACTAACATGCAGGGGATATTGAAGTTCAAAATAATTCTTCATGTTTCTTTGGGAAGTCCAAAGTAAAATGCAAAGAGCACTATGTAAATATTTAATTACTCGGTGAAAATTCTATGTTTTCAAACAAGACAATTACAGTCACCATGAAAAGAACAGTGCATGTTGAAAATGGTCTAGTTAAGACTTAGGAGAGGGATTGTAGTCCATGAGATAGTATAGGTAGAAAGTTCAGAATCAAAGAGATAGGTAGTATATGCTGAGTTCCTTGCTGAAAAACTTCCTTACTATCTATGGTCTCGAAACCCTTTTTCAGGGCAAGTTTTCAAATGAGACCCTTGTGCTGTGACAGGCAATTCTTTAGCTCACTTTACCACCAACCAAGTATAAAGCAGCAGGCATTAGCCCATTATTTTTCAGCTACTTCATGATCGATTATATAGTACAAATAGAAACAGTTCTTATAGACAAGGGATGAAACAGACAGTATTTACCTGTTAAGGTCATGCAACTTACTTCCCTGCGAGCATACCTGGCCATTGCCTGTATAAAAACTTGAAATTCAGTATGAATGTCTGTGTACTTAAGATAAATGAGGAAAATAAGGAAAAATTGTGGAAACAATTGAAAGCATCATGCATTTAATTAAAATATTAAAGGTAAAGGAGACAAGAAGAATTAAAGAAAAACAAGCTAAACAACAGATGGTGATGACTAGTAGTTCAACAAGCTGAAAAAAGTTATTTTGGAACCAATTCTAAACAAAGTGGTAAATTGGCAATCAACACAAAAATAGGAAGCTCAGAAAAAGCCCCTCATTCAGTTGTATCCACTTTATGAAAAGTGATCATTATGCTTCCTGAGTTTGGCAAAGAGACTTCAATATAACGGTAATATGTGGGTAAAATGATATAAAAGAATTCATTCTTGAAAAGTCAAGCCAAGCCAAAATGTCAACCAGGGTGGAGGCAACTGGTTTATAACAGGTTAAGAAGTAACTTTACTGGTTAATGGTTAATATTAATAAAATTGTACGACTTGATTCACCCACTACCTCTGGGCAGGTCCAACATCTTGGCTTAGCTTGAATTATGAGGGAATGGTCCAATTCCCAAAAGCCTACAATAGGAAAGTCACACACTATATCTTTTTTATCGATACAATGAAAAATGTTTCATCACATGGAAGACATACCTGCACTGATTGAAATGCAGCATTGTCTGGTGTTGAAGAACCATCTTCAGAGAATATATTCCTGAAACAAAAATAAAAACAGATATTGATATCTACGGATATAAATGAATTACGTGTAATTCAATATCCAAAACAGAGAGCAGAGAAAGAATTGATTGAAATTTGAAAGTTTCCTACTTTCAACATGTGCAGAGAGAGTTCAGATCAGAACCTACCTCCAAATAACATTAGGGAAATCACCCGGTTTTGCTTCTGGAAGCAAGGCAGTATCATAAGCAACGATGTTCCCATAAAAAATCTTCTCAAGCTCTTTCATCCACTTGGACAGTAGCAGGTTAACCTGCCATTTCAAATTGAATGATCATAATTCACTAATACCAGTCCGCAAACTATTTTGAGAAAATTGCAACAAAAGGAGTTTATGGTAAAATATTTCCAGTTTAGAACTATTAATGGATAATGATGTCAACAAATAAATAATTACTTTAGAGGTTAACAACTTAGTTGTTTCTATAAGGGAAAGTTTTCAAAATATATATTATTATTGAAAATAAATCTACTCATAAATAACAACTTACACCAGCTTTGGACACTCTTAGCTCTACATCATGATTGTAAATCTCATAAAGGTACTGACCAAATTCAACACCCTCCTTTCCCTCTTGCTTCAAGCGACGCAAACACAACCACATATGAAGTACAAGTAAAGAGAAAGTTGTTTTGAATGTTTTCTCCAAGTTAAACACTGCACGTAGAAGGAAGAAGTTTAGAATGCTACTGCATCGAACACTAGTTTGACGAGCGTGAATTTACATGCTTTAAATAAATCCAAAATTTCAATCAGAAAATATATGCCGTAAAAGCCACCAAAATATTATAAATAAAAAGAACAAGAAACACTATCAACCAAAAAAAAAAAAACGCAAGCCAAAGAACAGAGGAAAGAAAAGTGAACATTTCTGCCTCACAATACAGTGTGGAAGATGAATTTATCTTTAAAACTCCACATAAAAACCCAGAAAACCTTACCTTCATTTTCTACCAAATAGAAGAATTTACGTAGAACACCGATTTCAAACAAGTTAAACATCAGAGAAAATGGTCACACTCACAGGTCTCAAACTACAGAGGCGCAAAAGACACACATATCTGATGTTTTGTATTGCAAGAAAATCATTTGATTGTCAAATTATGCATCCCGAAACCAATCTAGAAGACTGTGTGTGGATAATCATATGAGCAATGCGTCTAAGTTACAACCACAGTTTATACTGGTATGAGGAGAATGGACCTTCATAAATAGGAGGTTTATCAATTTGTGAAACGATTCTGCGGTATACAACATTAGCCCCTCGAATTGACGTGCTCTGCTTACTATAAAACAGCATGAGTTTGAGCACAAAACGCTTGATCCCCTGATAATCAGGTTCTTCAACTCTGAGGGGTGAATCACGGGGCAGTGCCAGCGAACAAGGCTTAGACCAAAACATTTTGTCAAGGTTAACCTGCAGAGCAAGGTGCAAGGTGAAAGGTAGAGATTTTCTATTAGAAGCATCAAATCAAGAGTAGTTTCTTCTATTTTGGCGTTGCGTAGTTGAAGTTATGGTTGAGGAGTGAAATTAGGTGGCGTTTGCATACCAGGGATTCGGCTTTGTCCTCCACCGTTGGGGAGGGTGCAACAGTGGCGTAGCTTTGGCGCGTGCCATTCACGAAATTGAAATGACTCTGCGATCCAAACCTGGAGATTGGAGTAAGGACTTTGGTCCATCTTCGCAACATTCCAATTCTGAATCAGAATCACGGCGTAATTGATTCTGCAAAACCTACAGCACAGAACAGATAGCTACGATACGCAGGTGAGAAGAATAACTATCTCAATGCTCAAGAGACAGAGACGAGAATCAGAATTACGAGAATCAGAATCCCTTATAAATTAAAAATGCTTTCGATTTCAAACCACACTCACTCTCAAACTCACACCAATCGGATGAATGCATCTAAAACGGACACGCCGTGACTTTATTTTGGGCTGATAATATTTACATTTTATTTTTAAATAACTATTTATGTTCTTCCTGCTGAAAGTAATATTATTTTGAATAAATGATTAAATTAATCCTAATTTTAAAAATATAATATTTTAAAAACAATTTTGGGCCTTTATTGGGTAAGAATGGGTTTAGGGTTGGACTAGGGTTTATTTGGAGAATCGAATCCAAACGGCGCGAGTGGTAGAAGCAATTGGAGTATTTTTCTAGTAATTTAAAACAAAACCCTTACTCCTTTGTTTTCATTCATCGCCTCCATTTCTAAAACCCTAACTCACTCACTCACTAACACACAACATAAGACCATGTCTCCCTCCGACACCAAGAAGAAGAAGCACCGCAGCACCAAACAAGATGACGAAACCAACGACAAGGAGGATTTGATGATCAAACCGCAAAGCTTCACACCCCCAATCGACACTTCCCAGTGGCCAATCCTTCTCAAGAACTACGACCGCCTCAACGTTCGAACCGGACACTACACCCCCATCCCCTCCGGTTACTCTCCGCTCAAACGCCCTCTCACCGAATACCTCAAGTACGGTGTTCTCAACCTCGACAAACCCGCTAACCCCTCTTCCCACGAGGTTGTCGCTTGGATCAAACGCCTCCTTCGTGTCGAGAAAACCGGTCACAGCGGTACCCTCGACCCCAAAGTCACCGGCAACCTCATCGTCTGCATTGACCGTGCCACGCGCTTGGTCAAGTCCCAACAGGGTGCCGGAAAAGAGTACGTCTGCGTCGCTCGCTTGCATTCCTCTGTTCCCGATGTTTCCAAGGTCGCTCGCGCCCTTGAGACCCTCACCGGCGCCGTTTTCCAGCGCCCGCCGCTCATCTCCGCCGTCAAGCGCCAGCTTCGGATTCGGACTATCTACGAAAGTAAGCTTCTTGAGTATGACCCTGATAGGCATCTTGTTGTTTTCTGGATTTCATGTGAGGCTGGGACCTATGTTAGGACCATGTGTGTTCATTTGGGGCTGCTTCTTGGTGTTGGGGGACACATGCAGGAGCTTAGGAGGGTTCGTTCCGGGATCATGGGTGAGAAGGATAACATGGTTTCCATGCATGATGTGATGGATGCTCAGTGGGTTTATGATAATTATAGGGATGAGAGTTATTTGAGGAGGGTTGTTATGCCTTTGGAGGTTCTGTTGACTAGTTATAAGAGGTTGGTTGTCAAGGATTCTGCTGTTAATGCCATTTGTTATGGTGCCAAGTTGATGATCCCCGGTTTGCTTAGGTTTGAGAATGACATTGATGTTGGGGAGGAGGTTGTGCTCATGACCACCAAGGGTGAGGCTATTGCCCTTGGGATTGCTGAGATGACTACTGCTGTCATGGCTACTTGTGATCATGGTGTTGTCGCCAAGATCAAGAGGGTCGTCATGGATCGGGACACTTATCCCAGGAAATGGGGTTTGGGTCCCAGGGCCTCCATGAAGAAGAAACTCGTTGCTGAAGGCAAGTTGGATAAGCACGGGAAGCCAAATGAGAAAACTCCCCAAGAGTGGCTTAGGAATCTGGTTTTGCCTGCTGGTGGGGATAGCATGATTGCGGGAATGGCTGCTGCTCCTGAACCTGAGGCTGCCAAGAAAGAGATTGCTACTGTGGATGGGGAAGGCCGTAAGAGAAAGAAGCATGATAGCACCGATAGCCCCACCTCACTTCCTGCTAAGAAGGTGAAGGTTGATGAAGTGCAAGAGGTTGAAAAGCTAGAAAAGGTGAAGATGAAGAAGGTTGGCGAAGATGCTGTGGAGATCAAAGTTGAGAAGAAAGAGAAGAAGAAAAAGAAGAAGGATAAGGATAATGGTGAAGTGGCATCTTCAGATGAGGAGAAAAGTGGAAAAGAGAAGAAAAAGAAGAACAAGGATAAGGTTGAGGATGGTTCGCCCAATGTAGACAAGTCTGAAAAGAAAAAGAAGAAGAAGAAGGACAAGGAAGCTGAAGATAATGCTGCTGATATTAGTAATGGGAAGGATGACGATAATGCTGATAAGAGTGAAAAGAAGAAGCATAAGAAAAAGAAAAACAAAGATGCTGAGGAGGAATAGATGAAGGCATATTTTTGTGTTTGTTTAATTAAGTGGACTAGTTATGTAATGCCTATTTCTTTCTTGATCATTCATAATTTCACTTTGTTTAATGTGTTGCTTGTTCTTCGACATTTTGGTAGTTTTTCTGATGCTTTTTTTTCCCCTCCACAATTAGTCAATTACGCTTTTCAAAACCAGTAGTATGCATAATCTCTCTGAACTCTCTTAGATCTCTCACAATTGCTCCATTGACATGTCTCCGGCCCTTTGTATTTGCCTGCTCAATGGGTATGAGTGCCCTGTTTTCGACTGCAAGTTGTAAAGTAAGAAAGTAAAGATTTATTCACCAACGATTTAAATTAGATTACAAGATACTTTAATTGATCTAAATGATAGATATATCGCTACTTTTTCACGTTACAGATTTCTAATTTTAAAGGAGTCAAATTCGACAGGATGGTTCAACATTTTGGGTTATTTGGTAAAACCTGTCCTTTTGTTACAAAAAGGATCCTTTAGGAATTTGTCGCTTGCAATTATCTGCAAATCAGAGCCCAGATAAGGACCTGAAACTTTAGGCCAAGACAGCATTGGATCTATTGCGATTTAAAATCAGTGAGTTCATTTTTGGTTTTTGGATTGTCGAATTCGTCGGCTAAATCTTCTCAATTTTCTGTGTTGGAAGGACCCGAGTTAGAAATTCAAATTACTTAATTTGCATCTATGCTGTCATCTTTTCGTAATGCGAGACCGGTTTGATTGATTATTGACTCTATTTTCATGTGAACACATCGTAGATGGAAGTATCTGACCAAAATTAAGCAATGTTTTATTTGCAACTTATTGTATTGTTATTGTACACTTGAGCATCACATAATTTGCTTGATGCATAAAGAAAATTTTGAAGCTCTCACCTAGTAAAGAGTTAACATATACATTTTAGTTGGCAAGTTAGCCTAAGCTAGTAGGACAATTAAAAGCTTCTCAGAGGAGCATTTGGCTTCTTCTGACTGCGGCCATACCAGGATAGAAGGTATTTCCCGTTGTAGGATTGTGACCTGTTCATTGAACTAGGAACACCCTGCAGATATCTTGTTAACCTGAAAGAAGAGCTACCTTTAGAAGTAGTTGGGAAATCGTTTCCACTAACCCCCTTTGAACCACCAGGGTCATCAACACCTCCCAGCACTCTATTTGAATTACCATTAGGTTCCACTGATAGAACCGTTGCTAGAGCAAGATTGATATTTGCAACATAAGAAGAATCCAGAGAAACAGATCTTCTAGGATGAATGCATGCCACCTCTGCAACTGGGCTTCCAGTTTCACACACCCCTATTCCTTCTTCAACTTCCAATTGGCCTTCTTCCTCTTCCCTATTCCTCAATTCAGAATCAGGAGCACTACTTTCCATTCCCCCACTGGTTTCACCACTATTTTCCAAAACTTCCATGTGGGTATTTTCCAAGGAACTTGAACCAACAACATTAGACACCACACTAGCTGTTACAGGATTGCTAACAATGGGAGCCCGGCACATGGGGCAATTGGTATGGGATCTCAGCCAGGTATCAATACAAGGTAAATGAAAAGCATGATGACATTTTGGCAAAAGTCTCAGATTCTCATCCTCTTGGAACTCACTCAAGCAAACAGAACACTCAGTCCCTTCAATCAAGCCCTCTCCTCTCTTGTACTTACAAACCGTGATAGCATTGATAATTGATTGTTGGAGACCAGGAGTGCGGATATACCAGATGGGGTGGTCCACAACAGGACCATGTTCTTCATCAAGAAAATCATCATGGTTCTGTTGTGTTTGCTGCCTTGAAGATACCCTCCTCCTCGAGGAAAACCTGGTGTAAATAGCACGGCAACAAACAATAAAGAAAGCAGCAATTAGAAGAGCAAGAGTGAGGATCAAATAGGTGGAGATGTTGTGGTTGTTTCCTTGTTCTTCATCACCATATAAGTAGAGAGGAGGAACTTGTGGTGGTGGTGATGGAGGAGAATCATAGGTAATTTGGGGTGGATTGGTTAAACAGATCTTGAGGCAAACTGTGCAATCTGATGAACAAGGCTCGGAATCCTTCACATGACAAATTAACTGACAGATATCTGGTATCAACTTTCTGTGATGCAGCCCCATATCAGAGACGGGGTTGGGAGTGAAGGGAATGGAATGGAATGGAAGGGAGTCTCAAATCAACATCAAAATTTGGATTTCAAAGTGCCTTGGATGAAGAAGGTAGACGATGACTTGAGGTCTTAAACTTTGACTTTCTGCGATAGATGAGAATTCCACCATGTGTTTCCTACCTAGTTGAAGTTATTTAAGAAATATTAAATTTCTTGTCATGGGAACCAATCACCATAGGAAAATTACATTATTGAACTTAATTTTACACAAACAATCAATTAAAACATATAATAAGTACGAATTTTATATTAATTATCACCACAATCAATGATTCTTCTTTATATAAAAATCTATGATTGAATGAAGCTATAAAAATTACATTTGAATTAAATTCTCATATTAAATCTTAGAGCTAGATTTTATAACAATACTTCATTTAATAAATTTGATTAGATTAAACATTAGAGTCACGTCAAAATTTACCTTTCGAAGTGTAGGTTGAATTATAAATGTTAAAACAAAATTTATTAAATGATGTATTAATATATTATTAAGATAATAGAAATGTTATTGCATTCAGCAACTAAAGCATACATAAAAAATAAATTTCAAATCGCATGAGTTGAATGCAGACCTATAAATTTAAAACACGAAAACAAAGACAATGGCTTTTTCATATGATGTCTCTCCGTAAATTGCTTGTTATTGTTTGGTTTTCCATGGACAGTTGGATTTAATTTTGGTGCCGACTGGTGTCGGTTGTCGTGGCTAACTTTATTCCAATCCAACCCAATTTATTAGAACCACCAAATTAGTTGCATGCTTACTACTTGAAAACAACCCCACCTATTATATACATTAGCATCTTTACTTGTGAGATGTACAATTATAATCTTTACTTTCATATTCACAATTGTATTTAATCTTAATTATCTAAATGATTCTTAACACTTTTTATGTCTAAACTTAACTATTAAATAATAGAAAAGATATATTTATATTACATTGCATTAAATAGAGAAAAAAATTATTTTATTCTTTTTTAAAATAATTATACAGATTTGAAAGGTCAGGAAAATGAAAAGTCAAGGGAGATATTAATGTAGCTTATAAAAGTAAAACAAGTGAAATGATTTTTTTTTAAAAAGAAAAATTTAGTAAAAGAAGAACTTTATTATTTTGTTCATATATCAATACATAAATACAAAAATATTTATTCTAAAATAAAATCTCAGTAAAATTTACGTTACGTCGTTTGATTGTACGATTTTTCTAATTCAATATTTATTATAGCAATTTTATATAACAATTATATATTTTTGCATACTCAAGTAATAACTTAAAACCTATAATCAAAATATTTTTAAATAGAATATTTGATTAGACAAATTTCAGTAAATAAAAATGTTACAATAATTTATTTATAATGATTTTTAAATGCACCTTTTGACTTTATATACATACAAGTTGTTTTGAATACTTAATTTCCATCATTAATATAATTTGAGATGGTCAAAATTATTTTTTCTTATATTTTTACATGATACATTTCTATACATGCACACACCCATGGTTTTTCATTTGAATAAAGTCGAAATAACACGAATTCACAAACTTTTTTGACTTTTTACTTTATTAAATAAAATCTTATGAATGGTTTCTTTTAAATGTTAGTAATTAATTTAAATTAAATATTTTTAAATATTAATTTAATTATATTTTAATGCTCAAATTTAATTAATTTTGTGGTGAGTTAAATATTTTTTTGGTGAATCATATTCAACTAATTTTTGTTTTCTTTAAGAAAAAAATTCTATTTCATAAATAAAATAATTCAATTAATTTTGACAATTAAAATTTAAATAAAATATTACTTATCATGTCTAATGTAAGCTTTTTATTTAACGCCTTAAATTTTATATTTATAAATAAAATTAAAATATATAATTAAATGAGCATGTGAGAATTAAATTAAACAAATTTTATTGAAAGATTTTTCATTAAAAATTTTATGAAAATTATTAAAAGATAATAAAAGTTATAAAAAATTTAAAGTCATTATTACTCATATTATACGATTATGTGTGTGTATTATTTATGAACATATGCAGGAAAATATATTTGATTATTTACAGGTGTAGAAAATAAATCTGTATTGCTATTTATTTATTTTTAAAAAAATTCAAAGATCAAAAAGTTGCAAAACAAAAAATATAATTATAAAGTCAATAGAATATTAATGAAAAATAATTGCAGACTTTAAAAATTAAAAACATTACATGATAATTGCAGCGAAAAGACTTTAATCAACATTTTTGTTCCTTTTTTTTTTTTGTCAAATTAGAGAATACAACGATGAATCTTCATCAATTCACCCTAATCTAGTGGCATAGGACCTACGTGGGCCAGCATAACAAGTTTGCTAATTTGTTAACGAATACGGTAGAGATATATTATATGTTTAAAAATTAATATTTTTTATCTTCTAATTCTAAAATAAGTTTGATTTCATTCTTTTACTCTCTCTTTTTTTTTGGTCTATTTTAATTCTTTAATTTATAAAAGTATTTTAAATAAGTTATATTTTTATTAAAAATCTAACTCTATTAAAAGTTAAAAGAATTAATATTTTTAACTGAAAATAATTCATATAAATATTTTTATAAATTAAAAGATTAAAATAAATCTAAAAAACGTTGGAAGATAAAATTAAAATTTTCCTTAAAATGAAAAGATAAAAATACTAATTTAGTTATAAAAAATTTAGTTTAGTTTTTATAGGATAAAAGAGTATGTAAATAATTTTATTGAGTTCTTAACTAAAATGTCCTTTGCATTGCAATTTACAGCTGACAAAATTCTAAATTTATTATGGATGACCTATAGTTGGATGTAAAAGCCAACTTTTTTTTTCATGTGCGTGAGTTGAAGGAAAGTGTTGTCATTTAACTTGCGGGTTTAAATTCAAAAAAAATTATTTATTGTCAATCAGTGAAAGTGCTTGTATTATATTAAGTGTTTTTTTTATTAGGTTTAAAAAAATTTCATTATATTTACTTGTTCATGTTTTTGGGCAGCTATACCTTTACTTCCTAATCTCTATGGGAGATTGTTGAGCAACTAAAATATGAGCTTTAAAATAAAAATTAAATAAATTGAGATTTATAGACTTATCAGGTATAGAGAAGGCAAAGGAATGCTAAAGAGACAAAGAAAGAATATTATTAAGAGAGAACTTTTGTAATCTTAATGGTTTTAATATATTATGAACACATTTATAGTTGTTTATGTGAATATGAATAAACTACAATTTAATTGCATAACTTTAAAATATATTTTTTTTATGCAAATAAAGATTACCTGTTTCAATTCTTGAATCAAAATGTGTTATTATGAAAAGCAGCAGACATTCCTTTTGTTTTGATAAACTACATATTTTAGTAGTTCTTTATTAAGGATAAATATGTTGAATGATTAAAAACTGGTCATTTATGTCATGTTAATGTTTCAAAGTAACTTTACAGAATAAACGTCTAAGATATATTTATTATTTTACCTTGTGATAACTGACACTTTTTTTTCCTATAGTTCTCAATAATAGCGTCATTTGCTCAGACTTATTTTTCTCAAACTCATGAATTCATGCATATCTGTCTTTTCTTAACAATTTAGGTACATTTCCTGATTTTCTTGGGCACAAACACTTATTGGTTGGACGCTTGGCTCTATGTCTTCCATTTAAACAATCATCCTTTCTCAAAATTTAATCTTGTTTTTCCTTTATTGCCTTTGAAAACAAAATTGCTTTTCTTGAACTCTACTCTTTCTATTTTGTTTTTTGTGGCTGACTTGATTGATTTTTATTTTCATCCAACCTCATTAAATGACTTTTGCATTCCCCCATTCAGAAGCAACTATTATATTTCTGACTATTATATTTTTGCTAATGAGTTTAAGTTTGGTCTTTTTGTTCCTATTTCTTGTAAGAATTGTTTGGGAAAAAGGGTTTTGGAGGGGAGAGAAAGGAAAGGTAAAATTTATATTTTAAATAAATATATTTAAAATTAATTTAAAAAAATAAAAAATATAAATTAATATATTAACAAAAACTTAATATATTAATAATATATTTGTGATAACAAATATTAAATAATTTTTAATTTAAAATTAAAAAATACGTCCCCCTCCCTTCCTCTCCAAAAATATCCTTCCAAACATACCCTTAAATGTGCAACTTAGGAGTTAGTTAACCCTTTAATCTTTATCTTTACATACCTCTTATCAAAAGGTGTGAGGTTACCTTTGACTCCCTTTTATTTGGGTAGCTTTAATGCTCGTGTCGATCAAGTTTCAAGAGTAGATGTTTCTATCATATGGGCGATTCCTTATTAAATTTGTTGGCTTTTTTTTTTTTTTAATTTAGATGTTCCTTTTTTAACAGTTTCCCCTGTATGCCTTAATCTGTAATATTTCTGTGGTGGATAACAATCAAATGCCATATCATCCTTATTCTCGAGCAATTGCCCTTATCAGTATTTGTTATCCATTTTTTATGATGAATCTTATTTTTCATCCTTATACTTGTTCTTATGAAAGGTTGAGCATTTAAATCACATTTACTTTCATTAAGAATTTCCTACTCACAATAGTTTATTTGGTACTTTGGAGGGTGTTTATGACTTTTGAAGCTTATGTAATTTCTACACATTCTCCTAGGATTTGTGTTATTTGGCATTTTGAGTTGTTTAAGGGGTGCCTTTTGGCCCTAGGTATATCGCTCTGATAGATTTTATTGATAGTTTGGTTGGGACTAGCCTGTTATATCAGTCGACTTTCCCTTAACTGCTATTAATGGTGCCATGTGAGTTGTGTTGTTTTCTTTCCTTGACCCTTCTATACGTATCTTATTTGTGTATAGGTGAGGTTACTAGTGATTGCTGCTATGAAACAATCTATCAACAATTTTGAGTCTTTCCCCTAACTTCACCACCCCTTTTGCTCCTTATATTGTTTATATAGATCCTTACTTTGTGACATATCCCTTCAAAGCATGTTTGAAACAAGGTATATTTAAATTTTATCTTTTTCTTTTAATTTACTTATTATTATTATTATTTTTATGTACCCTTATCATGGGTCTTTTGCATATATTTCA